TGCAGAGGTGTGCTACTGCCCAGCTCTGGGTGGGTTCTGGGGCGTGGAACTCAGGTTCCGGCGCTTGCACAAGTGCTTACTTACTGAGCTCTCCCCACGCCCCAGCCCTCGGCTCCATTCTGTTCTGCAAGACACACGGTTACGTGAGGTGACCCATGTCTCATTAACTTGGTGGCTGTCGAGCTGAAGACTCCTGACTGTCCAGGGACACTTCCATGGTTCTTCGAGATGCTTGTCCCCAGATTTCTGGATCTTGGAACCACTTTGATGTAGGGAGGACATCTTTGAACAACCCACATTTGCTTGTTCTGGAACGCTGCCAGCGTGAGGCACAGCACTGTGGCACCAGGCCTAGACCTGTGTTACTTCGGAAGCCCAGAAGAGCCCCTGAGGGGAAGCTACTGATGACACCTCAAGAACACCAGGTAAGTATTCCTGAGGAACCAGTACGACTGCTCTCGTATGTGTTTGGGGGTGGGGGGGGATAGGCAGGTGGCTCAGCCTGGGAATCACTGTAAAAAGCAAGTTTAATAGTGCACTCACCTGCGCCCCCTCCAGGTGGGGAAGGAACTGCTTTTGTAAGCGCATTCTCGGGAATAGATACCAGGACTTGGAAAGGAGCAGCTCCTTGGAGCACAGAAAGCTGTAGTTCTTGTCCTCTGACAGTCAGCAGAGATGAAGAGCAGAGGGATGGCTGCTGGTCATGAGAAGGGACATGACAGAAGGGAGCAGACAGGGCCTTCTAACACATTCATATCACCTAAGCCTTAGTCTCATTTGGATAATGAGCACAGCAAATCTTTCATGCTCTTAGTGCTGAAGTGGCCCTCATCTTTGTTTTGCTCTCTGTAGTTTCATAACCTTTGATAACCAAGTCCAATGGGGCATTGGTGCTGTGTACCTGTAATCCGGGTACTTGGGAGGCTGGGACAGGAAGATCCTGAGTTTGAGGCCAGCCTAGGCCACATACTGAGACCGTCTCAGATAAAGGGAAAATATATGAGGAAGAAGGCTTAGTGTGCGGGAGACGGGGAGTAGGTACAAGTGTGAGGACCTGTGTTTGACCCAGGAAGGAACTCAAAAGCCTGGCTAGGGTATCTGAAATCACAGCACTCCCACAGAGGGATGGAGGCAGAGGCAGTCCCCAGAGGCCTTAGGGCCACCTGGTCTGCCAGACACAGTAGAGAGAGAACAAAAGAAATGCTGTCCCCCAACAAGGTGAAAGGCAGCAGTGGGCACAGGAGGTTCTTCTGACGCCCACAAGTAGCAGAGTGTTCCACATGCCTGAGTGCACACCAGATCCAAATGTGTGCCACACATAACAAGCAAAAATTTTAAAACATTTTAAAAAGGGTCAGTGAGCACAGTTTGCTGTGGCAGCATGAGAACCCCCCCCCCCCAAATCTGCAGTGCTGTGAGGCAGATTCTGGGAACTCACTGGCTAGTTTAATGGAAAAGGCAAAATTCCAGAATCACCGAGAGGCCCTGTCTCAAAATGTAATGAAATGGAGGAGGACAGCCTCTGCCCCAGCCCCACTCACCGGGGCATAGGCTAGGGGAGAAAACTCCACAAGTAAGCCACTCATATTTTGAGCTAACTAGTATATGATTATCCTTTTCTATTTCATTAGTTATTGCTAACCTTTTGATGTGTATAATTCATTAATGGAACCATAGATATGTATATAAAGGAAAAATAGTGTACACACAGTTTGTGCATCATTCAGTGTCCTCAGGCATCCGTTTAAGAACAGATAGAAAGTGTTTCCCAAGATTAAGGTGGTTGTAATGAGGTATGTGCCCCACACTGAAGGACTGTGGGGTAATATGAAGACTGGGAATGACAGCCCTGTCAGAAAACATAGGCCGCTGACACGAGGCCATGGCCATGGTCGTCCCAAAAGGTCTAGCGCCACTGACTTTTCATTTGCACAGATTGGTTCCTTCCCATCGCCAGAGAGAAGCTCTGTCAAGTGGTCAGAAGGCAGTCTTAGAGCCAAGTAACTGTAGAGCAAGACTTCCTCACCAGGAAAGGTGAGGATGTGGCGCCCTGCTGGCCCAGGCGCCTCAAAAGCAAGCAAGTCATAAGGCTGTCCAGTCTTCCTCATCCACATGCTGTGCTGATTGCCATTAGCTCCAGGCCTAAGGCCTCCCGGATTTGCACGACTCTACAGGGGGTTGCTAGTGATGGTAGTTAAAAGCTACTGGGAAAGGAGATCCCCACAAAGGAACCTTCATGGTGCCAGCTCCATGTGGGAAGCCTCTCGGCCTCCTGAAGCTTCACTGTTGCCCTCTGGGGGAGTTTGCTGAGTTTATAAGGGAATATTCAAGCACAGCACAATTTGGAAAGAAGTTTCCTGGTGATGGCGAAGCCCCAAGTGAACAACAGAGCTTAAGGCGTGATTACATCACAAACTCCTATGTCTTACAAGCAATGTCAACCATGAAGATAGGTTAATCTTCCATAAAGGTTAAGGAAGCAGGCTCCAGGTAAACAACACTCATGATAAGGTGTCAGGGGAGAATATCCATACAGACTGACTGAGATAAAGAGGCTCAAGATGAGGCTTTAAGGGAGCTAATGAGGCTGGGTTGTCTCTTCAAGGGGAGAGAGGTCTTCTCTGTCTTCCACCCATAAGGCTGGGAGCTGAGGTGGTTAGTGGCCTGGTGACCTCTATGCTGTCTCTTTGGCCAGGCCCCTCATGAGCATAAGACCTCCTACAGGGTCCCACCCAGGCTGGTCTCAGATTAATCTGTCATCCTCCCACCTCAGCCTCCCAAGGCAACTGGGACTCCATGGGACTCCAGGCGTGCACCGCAGCAGTCCCTGACTCTTTTGGTGTTCTCCCCCCCCCCCCCCCGCCGCCCGCCCCCCCCTTTTTTTCTTTCCCCCCCCCCCCCCCCCCCAGTGTTTCCCTGACGATTTACTTTTGGATCAGCCAATAGCAGCGCAAGCAAATGATTATGTTAAGCAGTCTCGACAGCCTTGTTAGAGAGGAGCTAGGCAGGGCAGAACCAGGCAGTAGCCACCAGATATTACATTAGCTACCAGAAAAAACAAACTTCCTCATAAAGGACCCTGTCACTTAGGAAGTCACATCCTCTGGCTACAAGGGGGGAACTTGTAATCTTGGCCTCCTGCTATGTTAAAGCAATCTCCCTCTCACTCAGTTGGTGTGCACGTGCGTGCTTGTGTGTGTGTGTTTTCTAGGACAGAGAACAGCTCTGAGTATGATTGCTGTCCACTTTTAAAAAAATATATCTATTTTTATGTGTATGCGAGTTTTGTTTGTCTGTCTGTCTGCATACCCACATATGCCTGGCGCCCATAGAAGCCAGGAAAGTGTATTGGATGCCTTGGAACTGGAGTGACAGGTAGTTGTGAGCTATCCTCGGTCCTGGGCAAGAGCAGCAGCTGTTGTTAACTGCTGAGCCACTTCCCTTGTCTGCCTGGTTTAGAAGACATGGTCTCCCTGGCCTAAAACTCACCAGGTGGGTTAGGCTGGCTTCCTGGAGAGCCCCAGGGATTTGCCTGCTTCTGCCTCTCTGGTGTGTGCTGCCACACCCAGCTTTTTGAGTTCTGGTAGTTGAATTCAGGAGCTATAGACAGTGTCATCTCAGCCCTCAGATAGAGAACAGAATTACACACATTTATGCATGTTCTCACTGTCCTTCGGTACAGGTACCACACCCAACCACGAAGGCAGCTGCTCACCTCCTTCCTGCCTCTCTGCAGGCTCAGCTTTGGAACCCGCATTTGAAAGCTGTTTCTCCATTTCTTTACCAGCTGAGGGAGTCAGGTGAGCTGCTCTCAGGCCTTGCTGTGGTTCTCGTCGTGAGGCTGAACTGTGGCATGGGCCTGAGCTGGGAAAAAGTTTAGAGAGCTACTTGCCCTTGCATTATTTATTCTTGAGTTCCTTTCAGCCTCAATATCGTCTCCCATGAAAAGCACCACAGTACCCTGCATTCAGGCCTGCAGTTGGCACCCAGCTTTAACATGTCTTTGCCTGATGTCCCTTTTCCTCTTCTGAACAGCAACCCCTCTGTGAAAGTCCAGCCTTGCTCTGCTGTGGCCTTCCCAAGCCCTGCTCTCCCTTCTTCCCACTGAGGAAGTCCTTGGCTCACTGGTGAGTGGCCCACACTGTGGCCTGTCTTCGAAAGGAGCCTGAAAGACCGCAAACCAGGTGCATGCACTCTTCCCAAGGGTGCTTCCACTCTTGCTCAATTGCTCTGGATCCAACACTCAAACCCTGTCAATCCTGCCTTCCTTAGAACACAAGGGCAGGCCCTGAGATGGGCTCTTACAGCATGTGTAGGCTCAGGGCCCAGCCAGCTCACTGATCTGACGTGGGTGGAAGCAGGAAGAAACACTTCTTTAGCTCAATCCCTCACCATGGCTGCTCACACAGGGACAAGTGTGACCGTCCCCTCACATTCCATTCAGGTACTTTGAAAGGGCAGAAGTGCTTCAAGAACACATCTTCATTTATTTTTACTTTTAGGACACAGGGTCTCATGCAGTCCAGGCTGGTCTTAAATTTGCTGTCACTAAGAAGTGAACTTGAACTTCTGACATGCCTGACTCTACCTCCGGAGTGCTGGGATTACACGTGTGCACAACCATGCCTGATTTTTTTTATTCAGTGTTGGAGAATTTGAACCCATGGTTTTGTGCATGCTAGGCAAGTACTCTACCAAACTCAGCTACATCCCCAGCCCTTTAGAAGGAAGCAGGGACAGGAGACCAGAGCAAGGCAAGTTATTTTAAAAAACCTGATATGGGCTGGTATGATGGCTCAGTGGTAAAAACGCCTGACAACCAGAGTTTGATCCCTGGGACCTACATGGGAAGGGAAGAAAAGGAACTCTGGCAAGTTTTCCTCTGATCTACATGTGTTCTGCTGCACTCAAACCCACCCATACACACAGAAAAGAAATACACTTAACTGTAATAAAAATTTTTAAAACTCTTTTATATAAAGAACCCAGACAACTAAAGATATAACAAATGTACTTTTAATTAATTTCAGGTAAAAACTACACAGGGAGAAGGAGCAATGATTAATTCTGGCCCTAATTTATAGAGCCAAATCATCTACATTAGAAAAAAAACCAAAACCCAAGGCATTAAGTCCTCACAGGTCACTCACTGGCAACCCAGCTGGTCTTTCATATTCCGTATTTCTTCTTCAACTCTTCTACCTTGTCCACATAGGCTTTCATGGCACTTTCCTTGGAAGTCCCTGGAAGGAAGGGATAGGGGTAGACATCAGGAAGGCAGTATGCTAGAAAGGCATGCAGCGGACAGGGGTGTCTGCCCTTTGCTTTTTAAAAACTTGTGTGTGCATATCTGTACAGGGGATATATTACATATATTAATTAGAATGCAGATATGCCTGAATGTATGTATGTGCACCAAATGCATTCAGTGCCTGCTAAAGTGAAATGAGGGTCAGGTCTCTCAGAGTTATAGGTAGCTGTAAGCTATGTGTTGTGGGTTCCAGAAACCAAATCAAGTCCTCTGTAAGAGCAGCAAGCACTCTTAAGCCATTCTTTTCAGCCCTGCCTTATCTACTTAATTATGTATTTATTTTGCAAGGGGTGAATGTTTGTGTGTGTGTGTGGTGATTTGAATGAAGATGGCCCCACTGGCTCATATCTTTGAATGAGCGGTCCCCAGTTAGTGGAACTGTTTGAGAAGGATTAGGTGGTGTGGCCTTATTGGAGGAGGCACGTGACTGGAGGTGGGCTTTAAGGTTTCAAAAGCCCATTGCCAGGCTCAGTCCCTCTCTCTCCTGCCTGTGGATCAGGGTGTAAAGTTCTCAGCTACTGTTCCACCATGTCTACCTTTCTGCCATGATGATCATGGACTAACCCTCTAAAAATTTAAGCAAGCAGAGTTTCCTTGGTCATGGTGTTTCTTCACAGCAATAAAATGGTAACTAAGACAGGGGAGGGGGCACATACATACTACAGCATGGGTAGAAGTCAGAGGGCAAATTGTGGGTTCCCATCATGTGGGCTCTGGGCATCAAACTCCAGTTGTTAGACTTAGTGGCAAGCAACTTTACCCACTGAGCCATCTCATCAGACCCTCCACTTGATTTTATGAGATGAGGTTTCTCACTGAACTAGGAGCTCATGGGTTGGCCAGTGACCTCAGAGGCTAAACCTGCCTGTCTCTGCCCCTTCCAGCATTAGGGTCACAGGTAGGTGCCTGCTGCTGTGCCTGGCTTTTTTATATAGGTACTGGGTTTCTGAACTCAGGTCCTCGTGCTTGCACAGCAGGCACCTTGCTGACTGAGCACTCTCCCTAGCCCCGTAATATCATTGTGACATGATATTATGATTCATATATATGTTGTGCCACAGGCTGGACATATATGCTCTGATCCCAATTTAATATTTGGAGATTGTTTCTTACATGTATAGGACAGCTCTCTGATATCTCAGAGATGACCTGAGGACCGGACTCAATACCCTTCCAGGGCATGGGTTTTGCTTTGCAATGCACTAAGCTCTTGCATGAGAGTAGGGCAACAGGCAGGGTGGACCTTAGCCTTCTAGACGGGCAGGAAAGTGTCCCTGTGGTGATTTTTCTGGGGCTGATAAGCTCGTGTTTGGCTTCAGCTTATGGACTGTCTGTTTTAGATTCTCATCTCCCACAGCTGTATTGCTGGCTGTGAAAAAGCTAGGCCAGCCACCCTCTTCCCCACAGAGAGAAGCACCGAAGACCGAGTAAAAGCTGCTGGTTCTTGGAGAGGAATGAGGCAACTCTTTGTCTTCTTTTCACAGCAAGAGGGACAATGAATACACCCCAAGGGACAGCCACACTCAGTTCCTAGATTCCCCCAGGGTAAGAAGAAGCCCTTGGGGACTGAGAGAGCTTGTTTGTGAAACACTGGATGCCCGGGCGCCTGAGAATGGTGTGGAAAATGGACGGGCAGAACTGCACAGGACCTTAGCCATGCATTTTAGTGTGGTGGGGCCCTTCCTGAGTTCATGCCTTCCTCCCTTGTGAGAGGACAGAAGGCTTATTCAGCAACTGGCTAGCAAGGGTATAAGAGCTGCCAACAGCTTTGGTGCCAACTTTTGGGGCTTGCTGCCATGGGAACACGTGATTTAATGGAGCCCAGACACTTCTTGGATGCTTGTGCTTAGCAAATAATAGTTTCATTCACTGGCCACGCATTACCTCATTCCCTTTTTTTTCATGTGCCTTCTGGCTGAAAGGGAACTGGGGAATAGCCACTCGGACAAGGGGCCACTGCCTGTACTTGTTGGGGAGATAGAGGTGTGTACAGGAGAACTCTTCTTACTCTGAACTCATCTAAGGACCCCTGCAAAATATCCCTCCCCGGCCTGTTTCCCAGTGACTTGATCCTTAGTCCTTTCCCACTAGACAACAACTGCCCAGAGACAGAGCTCTTAGAACAGGCACCAGCAACATTCAGAGGGACAGGAAAGGAAGTGGCCTGGTTTTCCCCATGTGAGGGTTGGCTGGGCTGGCTTCCATATGTGCCTCGTGAACTTTGCCCTCCCTGCTCCAGAATGGAGAGTCTTCAATGCCCAGCCTCACACAGGAGGGAAATTGATTGGAACACGTTACCTTTCAACTTATTCCATGAATCCCATTTGGCTTTGCCTTTGAGGTCCAACAGTCCAGGACGCTCTGCAACAAGGGAAGGATAGTATTAGATTTGCTACAAGTTCTAATGGAGAACTTTATCAACTTTTCTTCATGAAAGTCAAGAATTTTTCGTTGGTTTTTTTTTTTTTTTTTTTTTTTCCCCAAGACAGGGTTACTCTGTACAGCCCAAGCTGTCCTAGAACTCATTTTGTAGACCAGGCTGGCTTCAAACTCGCAGAGATCCACCTGCTTCTGCTTCCCAAGTGCTGGGATTAAAGGTGTGTGCCATTACCGCTTCACATTCTTTTTCATATTGTTACTGATTATTTGGGAATTTCACATCGTGAACTCTGATCACACTCATTTCCCAGTCCTCCTAAGTTCCCCCACCTTGTGACCCCCTCCACAAAAAAAGAAGGGAAATAGAAAAACAAGCAAACAAACAAACCAAACCAAAACCAAAACAACCAAAAAACCGAAGTCCAATTTGTGTTGCCCAGATACTCACCGGAGCTTGGTAGAACTCCCAGTGACCAGCCCCTTAAAGAAAACTGAGTCCTTCCCCTCCTGCTCCCCTGCCAGAAGCCCTCAGCTGTGGAGAGCTATACTTCAGCATCCTTACCACGACTTTTTAGTACTTCCAATGTCTTGTAGGTTCTATTGTAAGAAACCCAGTTGGGCTTATAGCAACACAAATTTGAAATTGAGAGAAAACAAGATTAAAAAATGTTCTTAGTTTTTTTGAACTATAAAGTAAAATGCTTGAGACCCAAAGTTTTGCTTTAAAAAGAACCACTCTTTTGGGGTTAGTAGGTGAAGTCAGTAGGTGCTTCCCTAGCATGCACCAAGCCTGGCCCTGGCGACCCTCAGCATATATAAGCAGAGAATGACGGCACACACCTGTAATCCCAGCACCCAGGAAGTAGGGGCAGGAGGATCAGGAATTCAAGGTCAGGCCAGCTATACAGAAAGTATCATGCCGGTCCAGGCTACATGAGAATTAGTGGTGGTAGTGCACACTCATAATGCCAGCCACTCCAGAGCTGGGCATGAGGATGGGAGGGTCAAGGCCTGCCTGGCCCACAGACTGGATGGCTTAGTGAGATTCTGTCTCACTATTAGAAAAATATTAAATAATAAAAGGGCTAGGGATGTGGCATAGCATGCCCCAAACCCTGGGTCCCAACCCCAGCACCAGATAAACCACAGATGGTGATTCACACCTATAAGGTGGAAGAAGGAGGATCAGAAATTCAGGGTCATTTTTGGGCTAAAGAGTGAATTTGGGCCAGACTGGGCTACACGAGACTCTGTCTTACACAAAACGAGGGGTGGGAGGGCAGGGGCGTACACACACACACACACACACACACACACACAAGCTCAAACCAAACCAAACCTGTACTTTGATTAAATTAAACAAACAAACATCCATTCATGTGGTTCACAATCCAAAAACTCTGAACAAAGGCTGGAGAGATGGCTTAGCACTGGCTGCTTTCACAGCGGGCCCAGGTTCAATTTCCAGCACATGGCAGCTCACAACTGTCTTTAACTCTAGTTCCAGAGGATCCTATACTCTCACACAGATATGCACTCAGGCAACATACCAATGCACATGAAATTGAAACAACAGTAACAACCCTCCCAAAACAACCCCCCCAAGAAACAACTCTGAGAAGAAATACTATTACATTCTCCCCCTCTCCTTGTTGCACTGCTGTTATCAGTGTTCTGGGTGTCCCTGCCTGTGATTTGTCTTTATAATCTGGTCCCATTTTCACATATTGTAGAAGTTTTTTTTTTTTTCCTGAGACCAGACTACTCCCAGAGCATCTGACTTTGGGTGGCCCTCCCACTATCCTTCCCTGGGGACAATTTCATTGCTAAGAGCAGAAATTGCACAGTGTGCAGCTAGGGACTCAGAGTCTGAGAAAAAGTCCCAGGAACCTTACAGGAAGACTGCAGATCCCCAGATGAAAAGACTCCCTGCCAGACTGTTCTCCCGAGATAAAATGTGTATTTGCAACATTCAGTTAATTAATTTATACACTGGGGTGCATGCGCATGTGCATTCCATTGGGCAGGTATGGATGTCGGAAGACAACTTTTGGGAGTCAGTTCTCTCCTTTCACCAAGAGGGTCCTTCAGGTAGTCAGGCATGGCAGCAAGTGCCTTTACACAAGGGGTACAATTCTAATGGAAAACAGTAGATTCAACAAAGCTACTGCTGAGCAACAGGGCTTAGATTTCTCTCTGGGGCCTTTGCTTCTTTCATACTAGATGCTAAGATAATAGGTAAAGTCCTTTTGAAACCAGATTGAATCTGTTCCCCGGGTCACTAAGAAATGAGGAAGATAGTCTTTGCAGGTAATATCTCTCAGCTTAAAGTCTAGACACCGGGGCTCTGCCTGAACCGTAGTGCCTCAGGTAGTTGGAAAGTGAGTTTCTCAGACTCCTGGGCTGCCGGGCCAACTTGGCCTGCTCTGATGAGAAACTGGGCATACCTGTATTTACATCGCCCACGGTGGCTTGTTTGAAGTGGCTGTAGATGAACAGCATCTCTTCGTCACTTGGCTGAGTCTTGAGGCGCTTCACCTCCTCAGCAGCTTTGTCAAATTCAGCCTAAGGGAAAGGAACAGGTACAATGTGGGAGAGGTCCAGGGATGAACGGACAGTGGGAAGGGCCACTCCTCCCAAACTCTCTTTTCTTGCCAAGATTCCGTAAAGGCCCACCTGTACACTCATGCAGTTACAGCACTGGGTCAAGTGCTGGGAATAGACCTGGCTCACAGTACAAGTACACGCCCTTGAAAATCTTCATGCCCAACGAACTGCCTGACCACCACTGGCCCATGTTCAGCAGTTCCTGGAGTTTCAGCAAAGCTACAACCTATAACCAGTGGAGACTGACCGGGCAGTGAGGGGAAGCGTGGCGTGATCAAAACAGTCAGTCAGGGGTCAGGAAAAGAATGCAGAGGAAACCAGGGTTGGGCCGCTGGTCCTTTCCTACTGGGCCTGGAGTTTAGCTTTGACCTCTGTCCCAGTGCCCAGATTAGGGAGAGGCAAGTGGGAGGAGCAAGAGATCTCCCTACGGAGTTAGCTCCTGGACGGGATCTCCACGTGAGGGAAGGAGAAGGCGGGTGGGCCGCCTCACCTACTCGCATCTCTTCTGTGCAGAGGCATGCCAGGCACAAGACTAGTTACCTTCCCCCGACCTCCAGCCTTCCCAGCCAGGGCCTCCATGAGTGTCCCTCAATACCATTCCGGTCCTTCCCAGTATGGAATTCAATCTTCCCTGTCCTTCATCCCCCTTTTGCCTCATCTTCCTTTTGAGGATGCTGTGCCAGTTTCACCCTGGAGTCCAGCCCACCCGCAACTCTCTAGCAGTTCCGGCGTGGGCGGCAGTTTCAGAAATCTGCAAGGGAAAAAGTTCCGCTCCCCAGGCTATGAGCTGGGCTCGGATCCCAGAACAGCTGACTGGCATCCGAGGAAAGAGCCCCACGGGATTTCTGCGGTCTGATGCCCCCAAACCCACTGCATCTTCGCAGCCCGGCAGGGCACGCGCAGTACCTGAGACATACTGGCGAGGTGACCTGGTTCCAAGCGCGCGGGAGGAGGCTCAGAACAGGCAGCAATCAAACTCCAGAGCGGACAGCCTAGCGCCTTTAAAAGCACAGCCCCAGCGTTCCAGCGAGCTCGGGCGAGCGCCAGCAACCAATCAGAAGTCGGACCTGCCTTCGGGGGCGTGTCCATTCTAGGCGGAGAGAGCCAGCCCTTCACAGACGCAAGAGGGCATTATTGCGCATGCGCGGGGAGGAGCCGCGGGGCACGCCGGGAGCAGGTGGGACGCGCTAAGGGTTTCTTTGAGCGCGGTTGGCGGGTGGGGGCACTCGGGGTGAGTGAGGGCAGTTGGGCAAGAGCTGGGAAGGGACTGAGATTGTGTGAAATGGGGTGGTGCGGGAGGAAAGTAGAAGTCAGTATGATTCTTTCCCTTTAAATCTGATGCTGGTTGGAAAGAGGCCGGAAGCTGCATCTCTAGTAACTTCTCAGCCTGGGAAACGGGATGATGCGACCCCATAAAGGGAATCTAGGGAGAAATGCCAAGTGCACAGGGCCACGGTGTCCTGCTGGACCAGCCCCATGCCCCACCCTTTTCTTCTGAACTTCTGGCACATTCTTTGACCCGTGCACGTTGCCCAGAGTTCTCAGTCCCGCACGCCTAACGCAGTCCAGTGTTCCATTAGTGCTTTATAAAGGCAGAGACAGTGTGATATAACAAACTTGCGCCAGAAGAGGTGCCCGACAAGCCTTTGTTAAGTGAATAACTTTTCTTCTCGAATGTTTTTTGAAACACTTGGCAGCATGAGTGCAGACTTCTAGACCTTGGGCAGACAGCAGTGGACAAACATGAATCTCTGCAACCTTGAGGCATCTTATTGTGGGCTAACAGTTGATGTAGTAAATTATCGACTTTTCAAAAAGGAGTTGGAAGTTGTAACTCGTGGGTATGGGTGTAGGGGAGTGGGAGAGAAGATGCTGTCTGAGCGAGCCCTTCGAGTCAGGGAAGGCGCATTCTAGCAGAGAGCAGTAGTAAGCAACGGGTTACTGTGGGAATTAATTGAATTCTTAGTCTCATTAATAAAATAATTTAAAACTGACTCAGGAGGAGGCTCGAGGACAGTTTTATTAAAGTTTAAGATTAAAACATCAGGGCAGACAAACTGAAAATGCTGACACCCATTGAGGACAGGCGATGGAGGAAAAGCCCTTCCTTTTAAGTTAGTCTTAAAAGGACAGAGAAACAGTGAGAAAGCCCAGAAGGCCTGGGAGAACATGCATAGGAGTGTCTGGCAGGTTAAGAGTTCAGAGGGCATTCAATTAAAAGTAAATGTGTCCCAGGGTTACACTGGGGTCACACAACGAGGGGAGCAAAAAGGGTCAAGGCTGGAGAACTAAGAAAGAGGTGGGCTGACTACGTGATGGCAGAGGTTGGTCACTCTCGGCATGCAGGCAATCATTCTGATGGAGATGGAAGTCACCAGGGGCTTTCCAACGGAGATGACAGAATGCAGAGGTGTCTTATGAGAGGCTGTGCACAAGTGGATGGGAGATTTTAGTGGGCTGAAAGAACTTTCTGGCATTGGATGCAAAGGTGAAAGAAGAGTGAAAGAAAATTTTCTGGAGGTCATTACAAAAGGGAGATTGTCTCTTTTCACTTCCTTATGTGTGGCAAGAGGCCTGCACTACAGATTGTGGCCCTTTTGACCCTCCACCTCATCACAGCTGTAATAGTTTACAAAGGGAGGGCTGAGGCTGTTAATCAGTGCTGGGGAGTGTCTGTCTAGTGTATTTGAGGTTCTGGGTTCAATTCCCAGCCCTGCAAAATAGAAGATTTAAGTCCAGGCTTTCAGATGACAGCAACAGTGTCAGTCAGGTTTTGTGGAGTGTTTGGGAAGGAGAAATTTAATTGCAGGGCGCATATGTAGATTTGTCAGTTTGTGAACCAATTTGCTCAGATATTGAGAGTAACAAAAACTTTGGAGGTAAATTTGGGAAAATTGCCCGTGAACTATGTAGAATGCAGATTTCTTTCAAAGTGGCCATTTAGGGACCCCCATCCACCTTCCCACACACTTAAGGCTCAGATGAATTAGCTTGTATTCCTTACTATAATTTTCCATGTCTCTTCTGAAAGATTAATTGGCGCAATGGAGCTTTGACTGGACTCAGATGTAGAAAGAGGATCAGTGGGAATGTTAGCTCCACAGTCTATTTGTAGTTCAAGACTGAGCTGTTGGTTGCTTGAAGGAATACAGTTCACTTCCTTAATTTTATGTAGTGGTTCCAGATGAGGATACAGAAATTATTTGAAGTGAGTGAAGAACATGCTGAAGGGTTGTGGATCCCTAGGAGCTAAGCCATCTTGAGCCAGAGGAGGAGGAAGAGCACTTCTCTTTGTTGTGGAGCCTCCCATAGGCCATGTTTCAGGGCTGCTTCTCAGCATACTTCCTGCTGCCTTTCTGTGCTTCCCAGGGACTCTTTATCAGTGTCTCATCTATGGCAATGTCACCATAAATGCCCCAGGGAGTTAGGATGGCATTTGGAGGCCATAGAAGAACTTGGGGTATTTTTCCTCAAGTACCTTCCATTTGTTTTTGAGACAGTATCTTCTGTTGTCCTGGAACTTACCAAGTAGATAGGCTAGACTGGTTGGGCCAGTGAGTCCAAGGAATATTTCTGTTTCTGGCTCCTCAGTACAGGGATTATAAGCATATGCCACCATGCCTGGCTGTTTTGTGTGGCTTATGGAAATTGAACTCAAGATTCTCCTGTTTGTGTGGCAAGTTTTACTGACTGAGCTATCTCAGCCTTTGGAAATTTTATTTTTAATAATAAACTGAGGGTCTGACAAGATATCTTATAGAGGAATTTTATTCCAGCAGCATGGCTACTCTGGCAAGGGATCACATACAAAGACCTAGGTTTATGTGATCTGGCTGAAATGCAGACATGCTCTGGATTACAGTATGGTTTGGCTGGAATATGGACATCCCCTTTGTACACACCTTTAATCCCAAACAATGAAGGTTAGTCTATAGAAGGAAGCAGCCATGTTTGAAAGTGACTTCTAATTGAGGGGCAGATAAAGTGATGAATCAGAGAAAGATTGGATAGAATGAGTCAGAGATAGGATACAGCCAACTCTCATGAGACTAGGACAGGAAAGAGAGGCTACTTAAGAGCAGTGGAGGGGGAGAGAATTTTTTTTTTTTTAACTGAGAGTCGATTATCAGGACAGTTTTAAAGAGACAGGTTGCAGAGAGAACAAGCTAGACACAGGTGAAGACACAAGCCAGTGAATCAGATGGAGCCAAAATATTAAAACATTGCCAAAACTATTTTGAGTCTAGGCAGAGCAATTCAGTTAGAAGCCAAGAGAAACCAGTTTGAATCAGTCATATTGGAAAGGAGTTTGGGCCATAATAGCTGAGTTGAAACAGCCAGCGGGAGTTTAGGAAGGCTTGGGAATGTCTCTCATCTCATCTCATCCCCTCATCTGAGGAGATAAAAACACGATTTACAGTGGCTCACATGGGAGAGTACTTGTTGTGCAAGCCTGACAAGTTGAGTCCAATCCTCAGAACCCATTAAAGGTGGAAAGAGAGAACTGAGTCCATAGAATTGTCCTCTGACTGCCATTTACATGCTGTGGCATGCATGAGCCTGCACACATACATACGCACAGTTCATGCACATAATAAATAATTAATAAATCAAACTGCTCAGCATATTTGGGGTAAGTCATGTGAATATTTTGAATTATATATTTCTACAAAACTAGAAAAAGCCATTGCTTTTCATAATCCTGAGAAATCATGGATCCTCAGCTCTGTTTATGTCCTCATGAGGACCTCTTGTCTGTTATGATTTTTTTCTACTGTCTGCTTTCACTTATACCTTAGCTAAGGAGAATAGAGGTCACTATGCCCTGGCCACTGCCTTGTCTCTTGATGCTTGCTCTTCTTAGGAACTCAACAAACACTGGCTGAGTAAAGTGCCTTTTCCTCTGTAAGTTTGCTCCTTGTGATCCCAGAATCAGGTAGACTAAAGCAAGAGTGTCCATGAGAGGTTGAGGACATCCTGAGCTCCACCCTAAAACCTTGTCTCGGAAAGCAAACAAAAGGAGCCTGGGAAATAGTTCAGTTGATAAAGTGTCTGCTCTGCAACCATAGAGACCTGAATTAAGATTTCTAGCCCCCACATAATTGTTAAGATTTATTTTCTACGCTGGGGAAGTTGATGCAGACGAATCCCAGGAGATTGCTAGGAGGTGGCCATTCTAGCCAATTGGTGAACTCTGGGTTCATTGAGAGACTGTCTCAAAACAAGGTGGAGAACAATTGTGGAAGATGCCCAGTGTCAGTCTCGCCCCACCCAACACTCCCACATCCAAAGGCATATATCATGCACACACATATACCAACAAAAAAATAGCCAAAAAAAAAAATAAAAAAGCTTTTTTTTTTTTTTTAATTAGCTGCCAACTTGAAAACCAATTGAATTCAAAGAACTGATTATGAGACCAGGGGCTGGAACAAACCAGATGAATTCTGGTCAGAGGCCTATGCAATCTCTTGGTAACACTCCCAGCTTTGGAAGCAGAGGGCTTAGCGGGGATGGGGAACCAGACTGACTCAGCCAGTCAGTAGCAGCTGTCAGCATCGCAGCTTGTGCTCGTGGATATGAATCTATGAGGTTATCATCCTGACTGCCCACAGACTTCCCTTGCTCTCAGCTTAGTTAGACTGACCAGGTTTACCAGGTATAAAATTCCTACTTTGCAGCAGGCCTCCTGGCAAATCAGAACACAGTTGGCTACCCCTGTAAGAGTCATGCCACTATTGGAGCAAAAGGCATATTTTGCCAGGCAGGTCAGTATTGTAGCATACAGGAAGACCGCTGAGGTCTTTTCCTCCATAGCATTACACCTTCTGGCTTATGTAAGCTAGCCAGCAGGGAGAGTTTCCGGTCACTTTGAGGTTGATTTTTCTTTGCATCTGTATCCACAGGTTTCCCTTATTGTTAGTTTAAGCCAGATGGGCAAGACACATGAACAGGTAAAAATTTTTCCTTTTGTGAAGAGTGGTTTAAGATTAAGTTTCTTGCTATAAAGGAAACCTCTAATTTCTAAAAGTAACCTAATCGTTAAGAAAAGAGTTAAGAACACACTAATGATGCAAGAGAGCTTTCATGGAAGGCAAGGGCGTTCCCGCGAAACCAGTTAACTCTGTACTTGGTTTCTATTTTCTTGGAATGTGACTCCTGTGGCCAGGCTCCAGC